GTGGGGAAAAAAGAGAGAGACAGACCCTGGGGACTTCACATGTAAGGCTTATATCAGTAAGGTTTATGTTAAACAATTATACATCGGCCGGGCACGGTGGCTCAAGCCTGTAATCCCAGCACTTTGGGAGGCCGAGGCGGGTGGATCACGAGGTCAAGAGATCGAGACCATCCTGGTCAACATGGTGAAACCCCGTCTCTACTAAAAATACAAAAAATTAGCTGGGCATGGTGGCGCGTGCCTGTAATCCCAGCGACTCAGGAGGCTGGGGCAGGAGAATTGCCTGAACCCAGGAGGCGGAGGTTGCGGTGAGCCGAGATCGCGCCATTGCACTCCAGCCTGGGCAACAAGAGCGAAACTCCGTCTCAAAAAAGAAAAAAGAAAAGAAAAAAAGAAGAAGAAAAAGAAAAAAAGAAGAAAAAAAACGAAAAAAAAACGAAAAAAAAAAAACAAAACAAACAAACAAAAAAAACAGTTATACATGTAACAGAAAAGGCAGCTCATGCCTGTAACCCCAGCACTTTGGGAGGCTGAGGCAGGAGGATCATTTGAGCCCAGAAGTTCAAGACCAGCCTGAGCTACATGATGAATCTCATCTCTATACAAAGTCAAAAAATTAGCCAGGTGTGGTAGCACATGCCTGTGGTCCCAGCTACTTGGGAGGCTGAGGTTGGAGAATCACTTGAGCCTAGACGGGTGAGGCTACAAGTGAGCTGTGGCTGTGCTGCTGCACTCTAGCCTGGGCGACAGAGTGAGATCCTGTCTCTAAATAAATAAATAAATAAATAACAGAAAAGGCAATGAATAAGATTAGGATTGGTTTCTTCTCATCACAAAGTTCAGCGGTGAGGCTTTCAGGGTCGACTCTTGGCTTCATTAGACACTCAGGCTCTCTTTTTCTTCTACCATGCTTAGTGTGTGTGGTCCATCCTCAAATTTGCTTTAGTTTCACAAAATGGTTACTATAGGTCCCACCATCCTATTTCAGGCAGCAGGAAAGAGGAAGAGGCCAAAGGAAAAAGGTGTCTGCCAGCCAAGTCTTTAAGGAAGTCTTTCCAGGAGACTCACTACATAACTTCTGCTTACATTGGCCAGAACTCAGAATTATTTTCAAGGGAGGCTGGAAATGCAGTTCTTAGCTAGGCCCCTTACTGCACCAACAAAATCAGGTTCCCTTGGTAAGGAATGAAAGGAATGGAAACTGGGTAGACCATTGTAATATCTGCCATAAGGGGGTGGGCAGAGGAAATAAAAAGAAGAATGTGGAGAGAGAAAAGGAGTGAGAATGATGCCATACAACATGTAATCATTAGGATGCTTTTAGTTACAAGTTATTGAAAACTGAGCCCAAACTACCTTAAACTTTGATCAAGTAGCCAAAAAAATTTATAAGTAGGGCAGATGTGTTTGTTGGGGCTCTGGCTTTGCAACTTTGCTATTTTCTTGGATATGCCCCTCTGTGTTGGCCTTGTATCCAGGCTGACCTCACAAACTATTATGGAGTGGCTGAAGCAGTTCCAGGACTCACACCATGATGCATATCACATTGCCCACAGCAAGACACACCATCTTCCTAGAAGAAGTCCTGAAATTCATTTATTCATTCCAAAATATTTCTGAGTACCTACTGTGTGCCAGTTCTTTTTCTAGGTGCCAGAGATAATGACAAACAGAGATCCTTTAGCCATCTATTGTTGCATTATCCTGAAACTCAGAGCTTAAAACAACAATTATTTATTATTTTACAGTTTCTGTGAGTCAGGAAACTGGGCAGGGCTTATTGGGTGCCTCTGGCTTCGGATCTCTCATAAGGCTGCAATCAAAATGTCGGCTGGGGCCAGGCGTGGTGGCTCACGTCTGTAATCCCAGCACTTTGAGAGGCTGAGATGGATGGATCACTTGAGGTCAGGAGTTTGAGACCAGCCTGGCCAACATGGTGAAACCCTGTCTCTACTAAAAATATAAAAATCGGCTTGGAATGGTGGCATGTGCCTGTAGTCCCAGCTACTTGGGAGGCTGAGGCAGGAGAATTGCTTGAACCTGGGTGGCAGAGGTTGCAGTGAGCCAAGACTGCATCATTGTACTCCAGCCTGGGCAAAAGAGTAAAACTCTGTCTCAAAAAAAAATAAAAATAAAAAAATAAAAAAGATGTCAGCTGGGGCTATAGTCATCTTAAGGCCGCCCAGGGAAGGATTGAGAATCACTTGAGCCCAGCTCAACCCCAGCTCACTCACATGGTAGCTGGCAGGCCCCAGGTACTTGCTGGCTACTGGCCAGAGTTGTCGGCTCATTGCAATATGGACATCTCTATTGGGCTGGGAGTTGGGGGTGGGAAGGAACAGACAGAAATCAGTCTTTTTATAAAACATTCTCAGAAATGACATCCCATTACTTTTGCCATATTTATTTTGAATTACTTCCAATAAGTCCAGGCCATGCTGAAGGGGAGGGGATTACATAAAGGCATGAATACCAGGAAGTTCAGATCATGGGGAACCACTTTGAGGCTGCTTACCACAATATTCTAGTCAGTGGAGACAGGCAATAAACAAACATATATCATATGTTGGGTGATAAGTCCTAGGAAGAAAATCAACACAGAGAAAGTAACGGCCTTTATTATGAAATGTCATTTGAGTAAAACCTGGCACACAGGGGACAGCAAGCCATGTGGGCATCTGCAGAACAGTATTCCAGCCAGAGGGAAGAGCAGGTGCAAGCTTCCTGAGGCAGGAGCATGCTTGGTGTCTTTCAGGAATCACACAACCAAGGTGGCTGGAGCTGAGTGAGCAAGGGAGGAGACCAAGTCAGAGAGGTGGGTTGGGATCACTTAGAGAAGATGGTAGAGACTTTCCTGGAGGGTTCTGCACAGGGGTGTGATGTTGTGATCTGCTTTGCTTTTAAAAATCTATGGACGGTACAAAGGCCAAGAGTAGAAGCAGATAAACCAGTTGGGATTCTACTGCAGTGGCCCAGGGGAGAGATAGGGAAATCTTGGATTGAGTCATATTGATGCAAGTGGGGAGAAGTGACTGGGTTCTAGATATATTTGATAAGATTTGCTGATAGACTGACTTAGGGTAGGACAGAGGGAGGGGTCAAAGATGACTCCAAGCCTTTCAGAATGAGAATCTCTAAGATCAGGATGCCCTTTGCTCAGGTGGGGAGGACGAGCCTGAGACAGTAAATAAAGATTTTGACTTTAGTTTTATGACCATGTTAAGTCTGGGACACCTGTTAGATAGCCAAGTGGAGATGTTGTGGAAGAAGATGGAGTCTTTAGTTCAGAGGAGAGATGGAGGCTGGCAATAGAAACTGGAGAGGCATCAGCATCAAGTTGCCATTTAAAGACAGAGGACTAGATGAGATGAATCACCTAGGGAATAAGTATTAATGGGGGATGAGCCCTGGAACATTTGGAACCTTTGGATATAAGAGGATGAGGAGGATCTGGCAAAGGGAGCTGAGAAAGAGAAACCAATGACAAAGGAGAGATGATTCTGGGGAGAAAACCAGTAGGGTTTACCTAGGAGAGCAAGACGAGAGGTGCTCTTGCCCTTTCAGATGCCTCCAAAGGTCAAGTGGTGCCACTGGACTTGAAAAGTAGCAGAAGGTCATGGATTACTTTAGAGAGAGCAGCTTACAAAGTCATAAGTTCAGCAGCTGGACAATACTAGATTTGGAAGGGAAATTAGCTGGGCATTGTGGTGCATGTCTGTAACACCAGCTACTTGAGAGGCTGAGGCAGGAAGATCACTTGAGCCTGGGAATTCAAGGCTGCAGTGAGCTATAATCATGCCACTGCACTCCAGCCTGGGTGACAGAGCAAGATCCTGTCTCTAAAAAAAATAAAATAAAATAATCACAAGGGAAAACACTGTTAAGAAAAATTAGAAAATATCGATATCAATAACCAAACATTATAATTAAAACCCAGAACACAGAAAGAGGTAAATTGTTTTCAGTAAATATAATGAGGCTTAGGGTCTTTACAATGGGAAAAAAAAAACCATGCAAATTGATAAGAAAAGTACTAAGACTCTACCAGGAAATCGACAAAGGACATGAACAGACAGGAGGAAATACAACTAGTAAACAAAGATAAAGAAAACTGTTTGGCACCATTAGCAAGGAAAGAAATACAGATTAAAACCATAAGATGACGTGTTTTCAACTATAAAATGAGCAAAGAGCTATTAATATTATTTAACTCAGAAATTCCAGGTCAGGGAATCCTAAGAAACTAAGCCAAAATGCAAATGAAAAAGCTAGTCACAATTCTATTTATAATAGTTAATAACAGAAAAAATAGCAAGGCATGGTGGCTCTCAACTGTAATCACAGTGGCTCAGCAGGCTGAGGCAGGAGGATCTTTTGAATCCAGAAGTTTGAGATTATAGTGAGCTATGATCTTGCCTTGCATTCCAGCCTGGGTGACATGTTCCCATCTTGAAAAAATTGAAAAATAACATAAAATAATCAAAATGCTGAACACCAGCAGAATGGCTTAGAAAAGTATGGCACATTCATACAATGGAATATTAAGCAACCACATACACATATAAAAAATGCTCGGGAAGAATTTATGGTAACATAGGAAAATGCCTATATTAATTTTTTTAAAAAGCAGGATTATAAATTGTATATACCTTATCTTCTCACCTATGGGAAAATATTTCTTCTTCTTTTTTTAAACGGAAGCTCGCTCTATCGCAAGGCTGGAGTGCACTGCCATGATCTTGGTTCACTGCAACCTCCGACTCCCTGGTTCAAGCTATTCTCCTGCCTCACCCTCCGCGTAGCTGGGATTACAGGCACCCACCACTGCGCCAGCTAATTTTTGTATTTTTAGTAGAGACGGGGTTTCACCCTATTTGCCAGGATGATCTCCATCTCTTGACCTCGTGATCTACTCACCTCCGCCTCCCAAAGTGCTGGGATTACAGGCGTGAGCCACCGTGCCTGGCCAGGAAAATGTTTCTAGGAAAAGGGAAACTCACCAAAATATTCCCTCAGCATGACACAGGAAGACTGGCTACCAATCTTTCACGCAGCACACCTTTGTCTCAAACTCCTGGCCTCAAGCCATCCTCCCATGATGGTCTCTCAAAGTGCTAGGGTTACAGACATGAGTCAGCACAACTTTGCTGAATTCTGTGCTAGCTTCTCTGTGCCAAGTCCTGGAAGCACAAAGATAATTCAGAAAGTCCTTCCCTTGAGGAGCTTGCATCTATGATCTGAAAACTATTCTGTGGGAGTAAACAATCAAGTCTCAAAAGCTATAAGCATAATTGGAATCCAAGAATAACACAGCAAAAACGAACACAGATGCAAGGTAAATGACCGCACAGCTGAGCCTTCAGTGATGCTGCCCACAGGCAATAAGGAATTTTGGAGTAAACTTAGCTGAGTTCTTAGAGACCCTAGTGCTACAGTAAAGATGGCCTTGACTCTAAAGGAATGAAAGTCAAGGTGAAGCTAATAGAATTGGTAGAATGAAGCTGATACTCCCAAACAATATTTGTTGCTTGACTTCCTGCTATAAGTGGTTTGGTGTAAGAGTGCCTCTCTGACCAGCCTCTGCTCAGCCTCTGCTCAGACCCACCAGAGTGACTCCGGATAGATCATTGGGCTTCTTCCATCTTAGGTTACTTCTTGAGCCCCATTCTTTGGCAAAGACTAGCTTGGAGATTCCTGCTGCAGTGTCAGGATTGGACCAGTGGGACTGCCTCTATTTTCAGGTTTATCACAGGTAGAGATGACAGAATGACACCTTGTATTTCTAGACTCTTTTATGTATATTTCACATATTTTATAAATTTTGTGCCAGGCGTGGTGGCTCACACCTTACTCCCAGCACTTTGGGAAGCTGAGGCGGTTGGCTCACATGAGGTCAGGAGTTCGAGACCCGCCTGGCCAACGTGGTGAAACCCTGTCTCTACTAAAAATGGAAAAATTAGCAGGGTGTCACGGCGGGTACCTGTAATCCCAGCTACTTGGGAGGCTGAGGCAGGTCAGTCACATGAACCCAGGAGGCAGAGGTTGCAGTGAGCTGAGATTGTGCCATTGCACTCTAGCCTGAGCAGGTAACAAGAGTGAAAAAAAACCCTTCATCTCAAAAAAAAAAAAATTCTGACCTGCCTGCACATTGAAGAATGATGTAGTTGGTAGCTGGAAATCAACCAGCTGTATTTTAAATTTTTCTGGCAGTGCTGCCTCCATCTTGCTTGCTTAACCTATCAAACTGTAGTTATCTGACAAACGCTAAATCAGAAAAACAAGGATTCTGATAGTGTCAGAGAGAAAGCTCTCTTAGAAAGCTACTTTCAGAAAAGTCCAAGCAGGTTATTCTTTAAGTGTTTTAGTCAATGGTATAGCAAGGCTGATTTAGAGAGTAAAGAATAGATACAATGTGATTTTTTTTCTTTTTTGTTTTTTGAGATGGAGTCTCATCCATCTTGCAGGCTGGAGTAGAGTGGCTTGATCTTGGCCCACTGCAACCTCTGCCTACTGGGTTCAAGCAATTCTCCTGCCTCAGCCTGCCAAGTAGCTGGGATTACAGGCATGCACCAGCACGCATGGCTAATTTTTGTATTTTTAGTAGAGACAGGGGTTTTGCACGTTAGCCAGGCTAGTCTCAAACTCCTCACCTCAGGTGATCCACCCACCTCAGTCTCCCAAAGTGCTGAGATTACAGGCATGAGCCACCATGCCTGGACACGATGTGATCTTTAAAGTATATCAAAGAAGTCACCCTAAAGGAAAATGAGTTTTTGATCATAAAATTAAGTATAATTTAAAAAATCAGTTCTCCTATAATCCCAGCACTTTCGGAGGACAAGGTGGAAGAACTGTGTGAGCTCAGTTTAGGACCAGTCCGGGCAACATAGCAAGACACTGTCTCTACTAAAACTTAAAAAAAAAAAAAAAAAAAAAAAGAAAGAAAAAGAGGATCATTTGGGCATAGTGGTGCATGTCTGTAGTGCCAGCTACTCGGGAGACTGAGGTGGGAAGATTGCTTAAGCACAGCAGTCGAGGCTGAAGTGAGCCATGGTTATGCCGCTGCATGCAGCCTGGCCGACAGAGCAAGATGTTGTCTCATAAATAAATAAGTTCTTAGTTAGGTATGGTGCCTCACACATGTAATCTCAGCACTTTGGGAGGCCAAGGTGGGAGGACTGCTTGAGCCCAGCAGTTTGAGGCTGCGGTGAGCTATGGTAGCTTCACTGTACTCCAGCCTGGGTGACAGAAAAAGACTCTGTCACTAACTAACTAACTAAGTAAATAAATACTCATTTCTTAAGAGAAATCCTCAATAATTACCATGTGATTAGGACTGAAATGTCTGAAGGCAAACTGTCTGGGTTCAAATCCTGGCTTTGCCACTTCCTAACTGCGTGACTTTAAGCAAGTTACTTAATTTCTCTGTGTCTCAATATTTTTCCTCATCTGTAAAATGGAGATGTTAGGACCTTCTTTATAAGGTTGGTATGAGAACTAAATGAGTTAGCCCTGAACAGTTCCTGGACTGTAACACCTGCTATATATATGCTTGTTAAATAAAACTAAAGACTTTTTTTCTTGCTATCACTTGTTAATAAAACAGTCATGACTAGTAAAACAAATATGTGAAATGTTAATAATTCTGTGACAATATAGTGAAGTATTCACTTATGTTTCTTACTTTTTTTTGAGACAGAGCCTCACTCACTCTGTTGCCCTGGCTGGAGTGCAGTGGTGTGATCGTGGCACGCTGCAATCTCCACCTATCGGGTTCAAGCAATTCTCCTGACTTAGCCTCCTGAGTAGCTAGGATTACAGGAACCCGCCACCACATCTGACTAATTTTTCCATTTTTAGTAGAGACAGGTTTCATCTTGTTGGCCAGGGTGGTCTTGAACTCCTGACCTCAAGTGATCCTCCTGCCTTGGCCTCCTAAAGTGCTGGGATTACAGGTATCAGCTACCACGCTTGGCCTGTTTCTTCTTTCTAGATTGCCCATCCTTCCTCTTTTCAAGCAGGTGGCTGTGCCTTCTTCTGCATGTGGCCTGAGGGATGCTTATGAGGCAGGAAGCCCATGGGAGCAGAAGGTGCTGAAGCCAGTGGCTCCTCTTGTCTTTTTTTAATTTAATTTAATTTAATTTTTTATAGAGATGGGGTTTCACCATGTTGGCCAGGCTGGTCTTGAATTGCTGACCTCAGGTAATCCACCTGCCTCGGCCTCCCAAAGTGCTGGAATTACAAGCGTGAGCCACCACGCCCGGCCTCCTCTTGTCTTTTATGAAAGCCTGAGCCTGTTGAACTGATAGGGAATGCTGGGTGTCTCAGGATAGGTGGTGGTGAGTAAGGCTTGTGGGTGCATGAAGAGGGGATAGAGAAGGAAAGCTTCTCTGAGAGGGCAGGGAGTACTAGTCCTAAGAGGCTAGGAGCTGGGGGACCTGGGCAGAGCCCAGAGTGTTTGGCATGGCCTCACGGGGAGGGCCATGCAGTGTACTGAGGCAAGAAGCACCATCTTGCAATGCCTCATGTAGCCCAGAAGGCACATGCTCTGGACTCCAGGGACCCTGGGGGTCTTAGACAACGAAAATGTCAGCCTTGACCATGAGAGGTCAGAGGTCAGAGCACCACTAACCAATAGATATATGAGCCATATTTGTATTTACTAGCTACTAAAATCTAGTAGCCATGTTAGAAAATGGTCAAAAGGCCGGGCGTGGTGGCTCATGCCTGTAATCCCAGCACTTTGGAAGGCTAAGGCGGGTGGATCAGCTGAGGTCAGGAGTTCGAGACCAGCCTGACCAACATGATGAAACCCTGTCTCTACTAAAAATACAAACTTAGCTGGGTGTGGTGGCACACACCTATAATCCCAGCTACTCGAGAGGCTGAGGCAGGAGAATAGCTTGCAGTGAGCCAAGATTGCGCCACTGCACTCCAGCCTGGGGAACAAGAGTGAAACTCCATATTAAAAAACAAAAAAACAAAAAATGGTCAAAGGACACAGTTAAAATTCATTTTGATAACATTTTATTTCTATCTAAAATATTAAGATTTCAACATATAATCAATATAAAGACATTACTGTAATATTGTACTTTTCTAAATACTAAGTGTATGAAATCTAGTGTGTATTTTATACTCACAGCACATCCCAGTTCAGATTGGCCACATTTCCTAGGCTCAGTAGCCCTGTGCAGTCAGTGACTACCACACCGCACAGCCCAGGGTTAGCGGCTCTTCTCGTTTTCCTGGTTCCGCATAAACTTCCTGGATTCTAAACTGACACTGACAGGAAAGGGGACCTCAGCTTGTTCACACAACAAATACTTTTGAATGCTACCACATGCTACGGTTCCCAAAACGTATGAGGAGGCACCCTAGAACACTGCAGTGAGCTCACAGGGGCTTCGAGGGAAATTTTACATTTTCAAGGGAAACATCTGTGAGACATCACATGAACTGCTGGCTCAAAGTGGCTCCCAGTTTCAACATGAGATTGCACTGTTATACTTCTCTTTAGATGCCATACAGTTTTGCAAAGGTGGGCTTTCAGCGCTGCTATGATAAAAAACAAAAAACAGAACACAAGTATTGTAGAAAAATTAGTTTGGAACAGGAAGTGAGATGGTAATATCCAAAAAATTCCAATGTTTGAGAAGTTTGCAGTGCCCAGCAGTTTCACGTCTGATTGGTAAGTAAGGGTAGTCAAGAATAAGAAAATTTTTTTCAATGTGTGTGCATTATTTTTTAGATAGCTATTAAGTTGTTAGGAGGTAAGTATTTATTAAGTTGCTCAGACCTAACTATTTAATAAAACAGAACTATTAGGCATTTCTTTTGGCCCAGGAACACTGAAAAATCCACTGAGACACCAAGAGTGCTGAGAATGTTTGGGAATTGCCCTACAGGTTGCTTATCTAAGTATGTGGAACACATCAGAAAATAAAACAAAGATCCTGCCTTTGTGGATGGGATTTGGTGGGGAGACAGACCATAATCAACAAGGATGACAGGTAATGTTTGAGTCAAGATTTCAGCCCAGTGGGGTGGGGTTTGGGAATTGAAATTAGGTTGTTTTTAAAGGAAATACAGAAAGTGGTATTTCTTACATACCAGATGTTATAGACCTTGATTTATCACATATATACCCATGCTAGACTGTGTGTCATCAGTTTAATGGAAGATTAGTTCTAAGTGTTGTTATAAACTGAATGTTCTATGTTGAAACCTCATCCCCAAGGTGATGGTATTAGGAGGTGAGGACTTCTGGGAGGCGATCAGGTCATGAGGGTGGAGCCCTCATATATGGAACTCGTGCTCTTATAAAAGAGACTCCAGAGAGCTCCCTCATGCCTTCTTCCTTGTGAGGACACAGTGAGAAGATGGCCAACTATGAATCAGAAAGTGACCTTTGGCTAGACGTGGTGGCTCACACCTGTAAACCCAGTGCTTTGGGAGTCTGAGGTGGGAGGACTGCTTGAGGCCAGGAGTTTAAGACCAGCCTGGGCAACACAGCAAGACCCCGTCTCTAAAAAAAAAGGCCCTCCCCAGACATGGGATCTTTGATCTTGGACTTCCCACTCTCCATAACTGTGAGAAATAAATTTCTGTTTTTTATAAACCACCCAGTCTATGGTATTTTCGTTACAGCAGCCTGAACCAACTAAGGTAAGGGTGTTCATGGAAGTGAGGAAAACAAATATTGCCCTTATGGGAACTCCAGAAAGCCACTCAGCCAGTCCTCAAGGTTAGGGCAGGAACATCATACCACCCTGGAAGGTGGCCATTAGTTAGGAACTGGAAGGTCATTCAGGACATTGACCAGCTCTTGTGGCCATACTGTCTCCTCATCCCT